TTTTTGTTATTGTTGTAAATATATCTATCACATAATTTCTGACAATTCAAATTTTTACAATTGTATATCTTATTGACAACAATTGCAATAATCCTTAATCAATGCTACTTTCCTCTACTATAAACTGAAACTCAGTACTTCGAAAGCAATAACCCCTCCTTTACTCCTTTTTTTAGGCCTCTGTTGCTTTGGTGGTGGTGGTTAGGTGTCATCGTGTTGGTTACCACTTACAGTTACCCTACTATGTGCAACAGAATGAAACATTGCCTGGCCCCACATGATCCTCACAATTGTTAATTTTTGAGCCCATTGTTGCAACCACTGTGGCAGTCAATTTTATTGAGGGTCATCTTCTTTTTCATGGACTCTCTACTTTACCAAGCATGAAATCCGTCTGTAGGGACTGGTCCCTCCAGATAACTTGTTCATAGTACATGAGATGAAGTCTCATCATTTTCAATTCTAAGGAGAATTCTGACAGTACTTGTTTTGAGACAGATTAGTTCATTCTTCTGGTAGCTCATTGTATATTCTATATCCCTTGCCAAAACTATAATTCAAAGACATCAATATTTCTTATATCTTCCTTATTCATTGTCCAGTTCTCATATGAATAGAAGGGTTTGAAAATACCACGACTTGGGTCAGGCACACCTTTGTTCTCAAAGTGATATTTTCGCTCTTTAAAAGTTTCAAGAGGTCTTTTGCAGTAGATTTGCCCAATGTACTGCATTATTTGATTTTTTCACTGAAGCTTCCAAGAGCATTGATTGTGAATCCAGGTAAAATCAAATCCTTGACTACCTCAATTTTTTTGCCATTCAAGATGATGCTGCTTACTGGTCTAGTTTTGAGGATTTTATTTTTCTTTATGTTAAGGTATAATCTATACTGAAGGTGTACCATTTTGCCTTTCCCCCTGAAGTAGATAAGTATACCAATTTCACCAAATCCTAGCTGTCATTTGTTATTTTTTCTTTTCTTTTCTTTCTTTCTTTTTTAATCTTAGTCATCATTGTGGTTTGGATTTGCATCTCTCTGATGGCTAATGACATTGCACATCTTTCCCTATAATAGGTAGCCATTTGAATGTTCTCGTTGGTGAGATGACTGTTCAAGGCCTTTTCCCATTTTATGATTAGGTTAGCTGTCTTTTAGTTATGAAGTTGTTGAAGTTTTCTGTACATCAGCCATGAAACATATGAGAGGGAAATTAGGGTAACAATTTTATTTACAACAACATCTAAGACAATAAAATACCTGGGGATAAGTATAACCTGGGATGTGAAGGACCTATACAATGAAAATTTTCAGACTGTGATGCAGTAAATTACTTAATATGGCTCTTCTAGTCTGATCTTTATTACTCCCATAAGATGACTGTGTGGGACTATGTATATGTAAGGTAGTTGTGGTCCACCAAGGGGATTGGATAGCTTGCTGATAATGGGAATAAAGTATATGGCATGCTTTTGGGTGTGGGTCATGCTAATAATGTGTGTTGAACACTGGTTTGGGGATTACACACTTTTGCCTTTCAACTAGGCACAAAATGAATGACCTCAGAGGAGAAAAAGGGAGGCTCTCTCTGCCATCAAGAGAGAAGAACTGGGAGTGGAGTGGGTCCTTGGATTCCGTATCCCTGTACTCTGATGGCAGAGAGACGGCAGAACGGAAATGAAGAGACGGGAGAGAGCCAGCAGCAGAAACTGCAGCAGAAGAGGAAGCAGAACCAACAGAACGAGGAGATCAGCATGATCCACAGTCAACACCTTTGGAAGCAGCAGAAATCAGACTACATATTACACTTGGAAAAACACCTTTTTAAAGTGTTAAAGAGCAAAGATGTAACTAAGGTGACCTTGAAAACTAAGGTACACCTGACCGAAGCCATGGTATTTCCAATCAACTGATATACATG